CTGGAGAAGTTCCTTGGTTTCTGAAAACGCTTCCAATTACGGGATTTGCTTTCTCTCTCTCAAAATCCAAGTTTGTGATTTTTCCATTATGTAGGGAGTACAGTGATGGTTTTGTGAGCATGTAAATGATATTGTGTGTTTGGTATTGCTTTTGCCTCCATTTGCTATTTAAACTCTAAAATTGTGATGTTTGTGGCGCTGGTTGTATTCAAATAAGACCATAATATAAATAATGTTTTTCTTCCCTTGGTGCCTTTAGTTGAATATCCTCAAGTGCAGTTCCTTCGATGACTGGATCAGCTCGGTATACAGCCTGTTTGGGAATGAAGATAGTAGGTTGATTACTGTTTAAGCTCTTGGAGGTTTAGTGTCATCAGTGCTTCTTCCTGTTGTAGGTACATGTAAATGCATCCCTCTCGGGATTGGAGGAAATATACGCTCATAGTCATTCTGAATGCAAGTGTTGAAGTGAATGCTGCAGTGTCAGACCAGAGTTCAATATTAGCCGTGTGTCACAAAAGAAATAATCTATGAATGCTCATCAGGTGGCCTTTAGAGCTTGGCTCTTCACTCAGAGTTTTAGTGCATTTTTTTTCTTTTTCTCTCACATAGACTTCACACTTGCTAAGACACATTTTTTACACTAATTAAGAATTACACATTTTTTTCTTAATACATAGATGGTATTTAAAATTTGACCAAACATACAAAGAGACATCAGATGATTGATGGAAAAAAAAGTTCAATATAATGATTTTTTGAAATCTGTGGATAGGTCTCCACAGTGCACAGTTTCCTTGGACTATCTGAAGGCCTTTGCAGGCATGGATCATGCAGGCAGGCTTCCAAAAGCTCGGAATGATTAAGATTCTTACTTTCCAAAAATGAACATCTGTATAATCGGTCTGTTGAGTGTTGCTGCTCTCGCTCTCACTGCAGGAGAATGCTTTAAGTTGAACTCTGGGTGGATTCTCATACCCAACACCAACTTTCTTGATGTTTCAGCAGATTATATGTTTGGTTGGCATGTTTTTTCCTGCTGTATCTCTGTAAATAGGGCCTTCCAGAAAATCAGCTGTCAGCACCTTCCATCTCCTCTGATCTCTAACGTGCTTTGCCCCAACTGCTGAGTGGATAGGAGTCACTTTTCAGAATCAAAAGAAAGTGTTCCATGTTATTTCACTTCAAACAATGGCACCGGTACAGAAAGTTCCAGGACCTCAATTACTGTGTTGCTGGTACTTGTTCACTAGAGAAAGGAGAGAGCGTTTTATAAGGAACATTTAGAATCCAAATGTGTTTCCTGTGAGATCTTGTTCCTGAAGACTAGTTGTCTGTGAGAAGTAACAGTCGTTCCCAGATGGTTTAAGGGACATTTACTGTGTTACCTCTTGAGGTAACTGGGGCCTTTTGTTTGATCTTGGGTGATAAGTGGATATAAGCAGCCATATTCTTCTGTAAGTATAGTTTACAGGATTCGCATCTGTAGGGCTTGCATTGTCTGTCATGGGAATGAGCTCATTGTGCCTTTTAGGGTTCCTCCTCCTTGGGGTTTATAGCTTGTTGGAGCCTGAACACCTGTACTCAGTGGTTCAGTGTTGCATTTAAGAATGTGTTCAGAGAAGATGGTGCATGTGTCAAATAAAGGTCAGGATGAAAGTGACTTCTACGTAATTTTCCCTGGAAAGTAATTATTGGGGTTTAATGGGAATCCATAGCTCAGTTCCTGAAGCTACTGTTAGCCAATAGCATTAGTCCTTTGCTTTATTTCTCAAATCGAATGTGGTGATGATTTTTTAATGGCGCCCAAAGTTGGTCCTTTTGTGAAATCCAGTCTCCTTGAATTTTTGGACTGTTATTCTTAGACATACACGGAAACAGATGAGACCTTGAGTCCTTTTTGGTAGTCCAGAAGCAGGTTGAGGAGTCTTCCAAAAAAGCTAAAGATACTGGGGTTGTATAGTCCTGGCATTTTCGCTCCATGTGGGAGTGTGTCGTGACTGGTGACAAACCTAGAAGGCTAGCCCTTTTATGTGATGCTGAAAAGGGAGAGGGCTGCAAGACGGGCCATAAACAGTATGAGCACCGAAAGGAGAGGTGGCAAAAGCAAATAAATTTGTGTGTAATCTCCAGCAGTGAATTATAGACAAAAGATCCTGTGATGAACATGGCTCTGGGTGGTGATGGACAGTGGGGATTATGGGAAGGATGGGCAATAGAGATGGGGAGAACGTGAGATCCTGAGTTAGCAGGAGGGCAATAGGAGGGGAAACAGATGATAATGGGCTTGAACTTCAAAATAAAAGTACTCGGGTGACTACACTTGAAGGTGGAGTGTGGAACAGCACACATGCAGGTGAGCTTGACATGGTGCCAGTGAAGGCTTGTGGTGCAAGCAAATGCTTGTTCAATCAGTCATGCATGCATACATACCCTGTCTCAACTACTGGGCAGTGATGTACAAAAGCTTGTAAGGCAGCATATGCGACGCTGAGTAAATTCTGCCTCATATCTGATAGCTGATGGGTTTCTAGACAGAACATTCAAGCTCTTGTGGTGTATTCTCTGATCAGGGTAACAGAAAATGCAAAAGTGAAGTACTTGCTGTGATTGTCTGGCAGGGGCTAGGGCATGACGAAATACAGTGGAGAGCCAGCCCCCTCTGATCAGCCTCAGTAGAGCCAGATGGGAAACATTATGCCCAGTGCCTCTGTAGAAGCGTAGCCATGCTGTGGGTCCCCAGGAGTGCCCTGTCCTAAGGTGCAGTGCATCTGACTGTGCCAACAAGTACAGGTGCAACAGCGGGCAGAAGGCGCTTGGCTGGCATTGACCCTGAGCAGGGTTTTGTCTGCGTCGGCGGCATCTCATAGGTAGTGATGGCGCTGAACCGTTTGTGCACACAAGGGAGGGCTCTGGAGTTTTAGAATATGTTCCAGTTAGGACTGAAAGGGTTTTTTTTTGTTTATTTTGTTTTGTTTAAGTTTTTGTTGTTTTGCTTCTTTTAAGATTGGAAAATTTTAAAGCTCTCTGGTGAATGCCTCAAAATGACATGACTCGTTTCCTAAATATTCTAAAGAGTACTTTGCTATTTCAAAAATACTTTGTTTTCCAAAGTATGTTTGTATATAATTGTCCCTCATGATTTACATGTTAATCTGAGATGGGTTAATTTTTTTTTTTTTGTCTTGGATTGGTTTGGTCTGTTTGTTTCTGTTTTACATGTGAAGGATTTGAATCAAGAGTAAGCGTTTGGTCTAGTGGTTGAGACCACAGTGTCTCATGCCCGAGTGCCTGGGTTCAAGTCTCAGCTCTGGCTTCTGATTCCAGTTACCTGCTAACGCACCCCAGCAGGTAGTAGTAATGGCTTGAGGACTTTGGTTCCTGGCACACATAGTGAATTCCTGGATTAAGTTCCCAGTTCCTGGGTTTGGCTACTTGGCCATTGTGGACATCTTGGTAGTGAACCAGCAGGTGGCAGCACTCTTTTGCTCTCCTGCTTTATCTCTGTCTCTCAAATACTTTTAAAAGTTATTTGAGTCAAAAGTAAAGCAGACTGACTAAAGCTATCCAGCTTGCTAGTAGCAGAAGGTCAGAGACACCCTGGTGTCCTGACTTCCCGGGTCTTGCCAGACATTATAATTCAGACACCTGTGTCATTTCCATGGCTTTGATCATGGCACTGAATCAGCGAGCAATGAAAAATGCCTGTGAAGAGGCACCATCTGTCCACTGGTGCATTCACAGGGCTGCTTGCCACTAAGAAATCTGCTTTTGAGCCTGCAAAGATGCCTCCTTCGTAGGCAGTCTTGGTTTTTAAGGTTGAATTGGGGTTGCCTTTCCTCAGTCAGTGGATCTGGCTGCCCTCCAGGACCCGCGTTTCCCAGGAGCCTTGCACTCTGCTACCTCAGCTCTCAGAGTGGCTGCAGCTGCAGCGTCTGCCTCCTTTCTCTCTGTCAGGAACCGAACTGAGATTCTGAGATAGCTCGAGTTACTGGTGACAAAGAGAGAAAAGACATTTTTAGGAAATCAATTAAAAGATAACTTGGAAATCTAAGGAGACGGCTGAAGGATGTATTGATGGAATCACAAAATTAGAAAAAAAATTTTGTCTAAGGAATGAGTTACATCTGCAGCATATATATATATAGATATAGATATATGTATATATAATAAGGGAAAGGTTTATGTAAAAAAAATCTTTCTTCTTACAAGATGATCAAAAATCCTATGGGGGATTTGTGCTGGTGTTTTTGTAACCACATCCTGATAGCAGCCCGGTTATGCCTTGCAGCTGTGGCCAGAAAGCAGGCCATGGCTATTCTGGGCTAAGCTACAAGGCTGGGATTGTTTAACTCTTGGGTTGCCAGGTGAGGTGACGTCTTATTACTGACAAACTGTAGCCACTTGGTTGGAGGCTGTGGGGATGACTTCATCTCGTTGCATTTCAAGGCCCCGGTGTTTGTGAGAGCCAGGCTGTTGTTCCCTCGCCTCCGCCCCTTTTCTCATCTCATTCCTAATTGAAGCGAAGGAGGGTGATTTTGTTGCCCATTACGGGAGGCGGTTTCATTATCTCTCCGGTAGCGGTGGCACACCACAGCTCAGACTGCTGCAGCTTAACAACTGAACCCTGGTATCATAACCACATCTATGTTACCCTGTGGAGTGCCAGTTCTAGAAGGGAGGAGAAGAGGGACGTTGTTAACCTTCCAAAATCCACAAAAAAAATATGACAAATGCAGCTGCCCTGTGTGTTGAAACTGTTCGAAGTGTTTGTGAACTCGCCCAGCCAGACCTGCGGGTAACACCATTCTCAACCCCTAAGTGCTGATGTTTTTCAATGTCCAGTGTGTCCTGGCTGTGGAGGAGAGACTGTATTTAAGGCAGAGTTTTTGCACCGAGTGCCTTCTTTGATGCCGTCGAATCTTGAGGAAATGAGCCTGATTTGTAAAGCTTCTTTGGCATGACGGCTGATGTTTGTTATCATGTTTGAATCTGCACAGGTGGTTCCAGGAGAGAGATCACTGAGCACTGGGAATGGCTTGAGCAGAATCTGCTGCAGACACTCTCCATCTTTGAAAACGAGAACGATATCACCACGTTCGTGAGAGGAAAGATACAGGTAGCAAGCTTCAAGAACCACCATTTTTTATTAGAAATCATTTCAGACTTAGAGGAGCACTGTAAGACAACACTGTAAGGAGAAGCGCGCCTGTGTGCCCTTTACTCAGATTCACCTGCTGTGAACATTGTACCCTGATTTTACTTTATCTTGTGTGTGCTCTGTCCTTAATGCTTCAGTGTGTATTTTCTGTTAAATAGGATTATTTTATTAAATAATAATGCATAGTTATCAAATACAGTATTTAACATATGTTAATTTAACATTATTAGTTTTTCAATATTAGATACATTTTCCAGTTTTTCTAATTGGCCCAAGAATGGCCTTTTAGTTTAGTTTTGTTTGCTTTGTTTTTTCTTTCATGCAAATGTAAGATGCACTCTGAGTTAACATTGCAGTTGGTTTCATCTCTTGTTTCTTTTAATCTGGAAATTTCCATTGCCTTTATCACATTAGTGATTTTGAGATTTATTTATTTGGAAGGCAGAGAGAGAGAGATGTCTTCCATGTGCTGGTCCACTCCCTCAAATACTCCAAACAATCAAGGCTGGAGCAGGCAGAAGCCAGGAACCCGGAATTTTATCCCAGTTCTCCAACATGGATGGCAGGGCCCGAGCCTTTGCAGCATCTTCCCACTGCCTTCCCAGGCTACTAGCAAGGAGCTGTGTTGGAAGTAGAGCTGCAGGTCTTAAACCAGTGCTCATATGGGATACTGGTGACACAGGAAGCAGCTTAACCCATTGCTGTGCAACACTGGCCCAGCACTACAATTCTGTTGTCTTAACGGAACATTTCTGATTTGGAATTGTGTCTGAAATGCTTTGGGACAGGTTATACGTTCCTGGAAGGAATACAACATAAAATGATCTTTTGTCCTGGTCAAGGTACCCATTCTCTAGGCACCTGATATTTACCTTCCCTTAAGGTGTTGCCCACTTTCTATACTGCACAACTAAAAACTTTACCTTTGTAGATAATACATAGTTATTTTATTTTGGTTTTTTTTTTTTTTGTGGGAAAACATCTTAAGCCCACACAAGTATCTACTGCTATTTAAATTCCTTGATTTATTTATTTTTTTTTTAAAGATTTATTTGTTTTTATTTCAAAGTCAGTTATACAGAGGGGAGGAGAGACAGAGAGGAAGATCTTCCATCTGATGATTCACTCCCCAAGTGAGTGCAACGGCTGGTGCTGTGCCAATCGATCTGGAGCCAGGAAACAGGAACTTCTTCCAGGTCTCCCACATGGGTGCAGGATCCCAAGGCATTGGGCCATCCTCGACTGCTTTCCCAGGGCACAAGCAGGGAGCTGGATGGGAAGTGGAGCTGCCGGGATTAGAATGTTGTTTGGCTGTAAAAACCACTGGGGACAGACTGTTGGGGGATGTCCATTTATTGTAAAGCCAGTACAATTTGTATAGACTAGGAAAAGGGGCGGGCCCTGACAATCCTCCCACCCAACAAAGATACTGTCATTGGCTGGAAGGGTACGTCTATCCCTTTAGCCCCTGCAGTCATGTCACAAGTCAGCTTCCGCACATATGGCTGGAAGCTGTGCCTCGTATCATGGGCAGGTAAGCTGTGGGCCACACCCATCAGGGAGCAGGCAGGGATCCAGGGGTGATCTCCCACACCCTAATGTTCTACAAATTGCTACCTTTGTACTTGTACATGAATATTTTCTTATTTTAAAAATTTTTTAAAGATTTATTTATTTTTATTGGGAAGTCAGATGTACAGAGAGAAGGAGAGAGAGCAAGAAAGGTCTTCCATTTGATGATTCACTCCCCAAGTGACCGCAATGGCTGGAGCTGAGCTGAGCCTGGAGCCTCTTCCAGGTCTCCTATGTGGGTGCAGAATCCCAAGACTTTGGGCCATCCTTGATTGCTTTCCCAGGCCACAGACAGGGAGCTGGATGGGAAGTGGAGCTGCTGGGACTGGAACCAGCACCCATGTGGGATCCCAGCCTGTTCAAGGCGAGGACTTTAGCCACTAGGCTACCATGCTCGGCCCACTTATTTATTTAGAGCATTCCCTTACTTGCAATGGAACAAGATGTCCCAGGCTCCTCCTTTACCTTCCCCCTCCCATCTGTTTGCTTTCAGTTTTAGAGATTTTCTCCATCCTAGCGTTAACTATCTATCTGAGAGACAGAGTAGTGGATGGAGATAGCTCCTGTACACTGGTTTGCTCCCTAAATACCTGCCATGGCCAAGGCTGGGACATGGTGGAAGCCAGGAGCCGGGAGCTCTGTGTCTCCTACACGGGTGGCAGGGATGCAGCTGCCAAAGCCAGCACCTGCTGCTTTCCAGGGGTGCGTTAGGGGAAGCTGAACTTGGGAGCAAGGCCAGGACTTGATCCCAGGCATGCCAGTATGAGGTACAGGTGTAATGCCTACCTCAAGTTGCTGGAGATAAAATGAAGACGGTTGAGCAGTTCAAGAGTGCATGCATTAATACCAGCCTCAATTCTCCCTCCTCTTCCCTTCAAAACCAGCATGTTGTCATTGTTTCAGGAGTGTGACTTTAGTTTCTACTTTGGCTCAATGGTAGGGGTGGGGACTGAAGACACTGGAAAGAGCTAGCCTGGGGATAAGCTCTCTTTGGATCATCTCCTGGGAAAAGGTGGCAGCTTCAAAATAAAATATATCCTTGACAAATGGAGATTTGTTTCCTTGATTCAACCAAATTTGACTGCATCCTTATTTTGTGAGTCACTTATCTGAGTTCCTGGAGCAAAGAGGGTCTGCGGGTTCCTACTGTGCTCAAGGGTGAAGGGCCTGGAGAAAGGGGGCGGTGGCCGGGGAAGTCATGGCGGCCAGGGGCCTCCCTTGCAGTGGGGGGCTCTTCCAGCTCCTCGCCCACATGTTCTCATCTTTGGGAAATGGGCACAAATAAAGAGCTCTGTGACGAACCCACAAAGTTAAAAGTGACAGACTGCAGGAGAAATAAGATGGAAACGAAGCACCAGTGTGTTAAGTCGCAGTGCTTCTCACTATTTGTATTATACTAAAAATGTCAGATTTAATTCCCTTGAAACTAATTATGAGGAGGGAATTGCTATTAATGCAATTATGCGTGAAAGAATGCCATTCATGTGCAAATGAATGGCTTAAACCTTGTCACAGAGTGTCCAATAATTAAGGAGGACCAACAGACTTGTTTTGAGATCTAATTAACTTTTATAAATTATAGATGGAATAATTTACTACAAAGGCACCATAATCCAAACACCGTAAATCATATTTTGTCTATTTCTTTCTAGACTTCAAATATGCATGTTTATCGTAATAACAGTCAATTTTGTACTGTTTAGTCCTTGACTAATATTTACTGTATGTTATATGCCCTTTCATTCTTATTTTCATAAGTGAATATACCATAACTGAACTGACCATTCCTCTCTTTCTAGAAATCAACTTTGCTTTCAGGACTGTAAAGGGCAGGTACAAAAAATAGTTAACATATTTTTGTTCATATAACTTTTCCTACAGGTTGCTCTCCCCCTTTGATGTGGATGTAGGTGCACGGGTTCAATAGTTAAAAACATTTTTAATAGATTCATGGTAGAAATTGGCAATATACTTGAATTCTTTTTTTAAATATTTATTCATTTGAAAGGCAGACATATAATAAGAGAGGGAGAATAAGATCTTCCATCTCCTGGTTCACTCCTCAGATAGCTGCAGTAGCTTGCAGCATGGGCCAAGGCTAGCAGCCTGCGACTCCATCATGCTTTCCCACATGGGTGGTTGAGGCCCAGGTGCCTGGGCCATCCTCCACTGCTTCTCCAGGCACAACAGCAGGAACTGGATTGAAAGTGGAGCAGCTGAAACTTGAATCCGTACCCGTATGTAGTGCTGTTCTCATAGACAGTGCCTAACTGAATACCCCACATTATTACTGGCCCGTTGAATTCCTTTGTGATTAGACTGTTGCTTGCTTCAACTTCAAGCATGAGAGTTATTTAAATCTTTTATCAAATATAACAGTTAAAAGTTCTTGTCTCAATATTTTGATTTTCTGCATTTGATTATATTATTGAATCTTTTTACTTTGCTAATTTTCACTCATTTGTAAATTACCTGCCAATGCCTTTTTACGCATTTACATTTATATTAAACATCCCACTTAATTCAATGCTGTGGATTTCCCAGTTATGAGGAGCTGTTGCCTAGGCCCACATCCATTTTAAATTCAGTAGACTCTGTGGAATCCTAAGGAGGGAATGTTCTGTCCCTTTGTTCTCTCATCCAGTGCACTTGGCTGGAAGATTAGCAAAATTGCAGCAAACCAAGAAAAGGTTCTGCATCCTGGACCCTGTCTTACAGGTGGGAATTTCTGGATAGGGAACCGTTATCCCTCTGGATGAAGTTAGTGGGGGCCTCATCCTAACCCTTGCAGATTAACCCCAGACTGATGCTTCTCAGCTCTGAGTGCTTAGAAACTCTTTCATCCTCAAAACCATTTTCTTTTTAAAGGCTTTTAAAAGTTTTTCTGCACCTATGGTGTTTAGCAGATGTTTACGTAGCGTAGCCAGGATTTACTCTTTTTCCACTCAAAGCATGTGAATGGTGCTTGCTTTGTGTCACAACTTCCCCTTCTACTGGTCTCTGTATTTGACTTAAGGTAAGACCCCTGCTACAGGGGTCAGGAGAAGAGCAGGGTCTCCGGGCTCCTCGCTTCTTACTTGGTTGGCCATTGAAATTGCCTGAGAACCCAGCTGCTTCCTATTAATATTTCTCATTTGTGTGCTTCTGTACACATTCACTGATTCCTTCTATTCCTTCATGTATTGTGATTCCTCTCCAAAGACAGTGGCAGCTTTGATCTGTAGCAGAAGTCGCAGGTGTATTTGCCACCTGGGAGATGTTTCTGGTCCCTCTTTCCTGACTTCTGAGCTGACTTCTACCCACCCACATGCCTAACGCCCCTCACACTGCCTTCTGATTGTCTGAATTCCCTGCTGTAGCACTGGAGCAAAGCCTGCTTCTGCGGGGAGCTGCCCAGCTCCAAAACTCATCTTCCCTCCTCCAAGCACAGCATCTCTGTTCTGACAGAGGAGTGGCATCACTTAGAGGGAAACCACTTTAGTTTATATATTCTCCCAGGGAAATATATTGTTACTTCTCACACTGGCCACAGTGACACCCTGTAGAACAACGGAACAGGAGCCCACAGCTTGGTACTTAACTTCTGCAGAATTTCTGTCTCTGATATAATTTTAATTTAGAAATCTGCAACCCTGAATAAGAAGACTTAGATAGGGCCTTTAAGATACCTTGCAATCTGGAAAAATGACATATACTTAACAGTATCTTGACTACCTACTAGAGGCAAGATCCTGATGATGAAAAGTATTCAAGATACTGTCTTAACAACTCATAAACTGCTTCCCATATAAAGAGAATATAAAGGGCTAACATTGAGGCTTAGTGCCTTAAGCTGCCACCACCAGTTCTGGAATCCCACACAAATTGAGTTCCAGCTGCTCTACAGTTTACTGCTAATGCTCCTGGACAAGTAGCGAAATATGACCCAAGTGCTTAGAGTCCTGAAGCCATGTGGAAAGCCCACATGGAGTTCCAAGGTCCTGACATCAACCTGGGCCAGCCACAGCCTTTGTGCCTTTTAGGGGCTTGAACCAGTGGTTGGGGGAGACTGCACATAAAATTTAGACAATTTCAATACATAATGCAGAAATAATCTTCAAGACAATGTGGAGAAAGAGAATCGTACTTGAGAGATTGTTCAGAAAGAGGTGGCAATGAAACCAGACTTAGAGTTTGTTAGTGTTCATGATCCTTGAGGAATGGAGGACTTGGTCTTGTGCAGAAAAATTTGAGAGGCTACTGTAGGAAACACCGATGCACAGCAAGGCTGTGATACCTGACCCCAGCTGTTCACACTTCACAGCTCATGTTTGTCTAGTGCCAGGTTGAGATCCGAGAAAATGAAGATGAGCTGAGCTTTGATGACTGTGATCGAAAGAGGAATTCTGGAGTGGGTGTTTGCCACAGGGGTTAAGATTTGTTAATTTCTTTATTTTATTTATCTATTTATTTATGTATTTTATTTAGGTGGTGCTTGACACTGCAATTAAGATTTATTTATTTATTTAGTCAGAATTACAAAGACAGAGGGAGAAAGAAAGATCTTCCATTTGCTAGCTTTCTCCCCAGATGGCCACAATTGCCAGGCTTGGACAAGGCTGAAGCCTGGAGCCAGCCAGGAGATTCTTCTGGGTCTCCCATGTGGACAGCAGCAGGCTAAGCACTTGTGGCATCTTCCACTGTTTTCCCAGGCACATTAGCAGGAAGCAAGATTGGAAATGAAGCAGTCAAGGCTTGAACTGGCACCCATTTAGATTGTAAGCACTGCAGGTGACAGCTTAGCACACTCACATCGTTGACCCCTCTACTCCTATTAATATCAGTTGTGTGCTTTGTGTTCTGTCCCTGACTAGGGCATCATTGCAGAGTATAACAAAATTAATGATGTAAAGGAAGATGATGACACGGATAAATTCAAAGAAGCCATTGTGAAATTCCATCGACTGTTTGGGATGCCTGAGGAAGAGAAGCTTGTCAACTATTACTCTTGCAGCTACTGGAAGGGGAAGGTTCCCCGGCAGGGGTGGATGTATCTCAGTATTAATCACCTGTGCTTTTATTCATTTCTGATGGGAAGGGAAGGTAAGCCTGTGAGAATTTCAGAGGGAAGCTTTGGGAAGGTCTTTTGATGTTTGCTCTGAACTCATAAACCGCATTGAAATATCAAGAACCATTGTGTATGGTTACATGGTTTTTGACTAGTAAATCCAATGATTTTTAGTTCAATTTTTGTAAAGCAATTGACCAATATATAATAAGGATTCACTAGAGGTATAATTAATTTGGTATGCACAGACTTAAATTTGTAGTCATTCTGAACTTGAAATGTTATGTGGTCCAAATTTGTCTCTTAAAACTTACACAAAGGTCATCATGTGGGTTTAGAAGTTCAACACTGGGCGAGGGGCAGGGGAGTTTGAGCTTGCACTGTCTGGATAGGATTTTTAAGAAGCAGGAATTGACCCATCCTTGCTGCCTGTGCTCAGCCAAGCTGGTCATCCGGTGGGTGGACATTACTCAGCTGGAGAAAAACGGCGCGCTGCTTCTGCCCGATGTGATCAAGGTGAGCACACGGTCCAGTGAACATTTCTTCTCCGTGTTTCTCAACATCAACGAGACATTCAAGTTAATGGAGCAGCTTGCCAACATCGCCATGAGGCAGCTCCTAGACAACGAAGGCTTTGAACAAGATAGATCCCTGCCCAAACTGAAAAAGAAATCTCCTAAAAAAGTATCTGCACTCAAACGGTGAGTCAGAGGAAGTCTGAACCTTAAAGACTTCTAAAGCAACTCTTTTCTGAAAAAATCTGAGTATCAGTGCAAAACTGAAAGTGGTCTTTGAGAGAGTCTTCAGAACAATAAATAGGACCACTGTGACTTGTTTCCCGTACTGTGTGATGGGAACACCCTTGGTCCTCTGAATGGAAGGTTACAGGTGCAGACATTGGCAGTGATGAGCTCAGCCCACTGAGGGCAGAGTGGACCCTCTGCTGAATAGAGTTCGCAGAAGTTAGTAGACATCATCTATTCAGGTGCAGCAGGATGTGTATTTCAGGCAGAGGGAAGGACATGATGAGGGAAACCCAAGCAAAAAGCATGGAAGAAAAGTGTGCCTATTGCTTAGCATCACTTCTAGAAATGGCAGGGAATGAGCTGAGGAGGGTTTGTAGAGAAGCCTGAAAGCCTGGATGTAGGAGTCGAGCTAGAGGAGATGAGAAGGGGAAGGTTGATGCCCGCTCGAGTGATGTGTGGAATTGACCTCCACTGGAATGGGGAGGGGGTTGGAGGAAGGATGAGCGTGTCCCAGGGCTGCAGTCACTCAACTGCGTTGTGTTGGGTCCACTTGCCAGAAGATTTAAATGGGAATTTGTCCAGGTAGAGAAAAGAGCGTCATTGAAGTACAGGTGGCTGGTGGAATCTGACAAAAGGTCCTTGTCATTAGTATGGCTTTGGTGATCCGTGGTATTTCCGGTGCTGTTGCTACACTGGATTAAATAGCAAATGAAAGGTAAAGAAAGAACAGTTGGCAGTTACAGATTTCCTGTTTAAGAATTCAGTGGTAAAGAACCAAGGATGCTTTTTGTGTTTTAAAATTGAACATATGATTAGATGGAGGAGGCTGATGAAAAGAATTTTATTGGTGAGGGTGATTGTGGGGACAGGAGAGAGCTTAGGGATAAATCTTTAATAAGAAAATGGATTTAAAATATTATCTTGTAAAGAATGGTGCGGATACATATGTTTGTTGGTGCCTCTTCATTTGAAACAGAAAGGGGAACTAGGAATAGGTGAGTGTGAGGATGTAGGTAGACAGAGGGAGGAAATTAGAGGGAACTTGTATGTTAGGCATCTCTTTGTTGTGTGAAGCCAGGAACCAGATTGTCATGGGACTGAGATGTGGGTAGGGTATGGGCAAAGACTTGAAGACTGACTTGATGAGTAGGGAAAAAATATTCCAACAGGGAAAGGGTAGTAGCCAACAGAAGACCAGCTGAGGCTGGCAAGCGCAGTCGCCCAAGAGCTGGATCAATTTTGGTGGCTTTAAGTGTACTTTTGTTGTATATTTAGGGTTCAGAGTGCTGCCTAGTAGGTCTTCATGACTGCATTCTTATTGTACCCCAAAGGTGGCTCTTTTGAAGAGTCAGTTTTGACAGTTATGGTACTATTTTAGAAAAGGCAATTTCCTGTTCAGGTCTAATTTTTCTAAGATTCTTTCATATTCATAGACAGTGACTGTGAACTGACCGTGCAAGGGACCTGTGTTTATTAAGGTAATTGCATCATGCTTTTGGGTCACTAGGTGAAGTTGACTCCAATATGAAATCAGGAAGATAGAGATACACCTACCAAGATGGAGGAGGGGAAAGTCGGGGTGGGGAAACTCAGTCTCTCTATTGTTTCATCATTTAGAGGATATTATTTTTTTTTTCTGTGTGAGATTAATAGTTATTGTTGCTTTTCAGTGATTTGGATGCCAGGGCGAAGAGTGAGAGATACCGGGCACTTTTCCGGCTGCCCAAAGATGAGAAATTAGATGGCCACACAGACTGTACCCTATGGACTCCATTTAACAAAATGCACATTTTGGGACAGATGTTTGTGTCCACAAATTACATCTGCTTTACCAGCAAGGAGGAGAACTTATGTAGCCTCATAATCCCACTCCGGGAGGTAAGTGTCAGGTGAAAATAGGGGTTATGAGTTTCGTTTGTCATACTTTTCTACTTGAACCAAAAATGATGCCTTTCACCAGCAATCAGTTGCCTTTTAACCAGCGGTGATTATCATTCTTGAGTGGCACCTGCTTTTCATTTGTTGCCTTTGCTGAAGACAGCAATGACTGCAGTCCCTGTGAGATGACTCAGATACAGGTTTCATCATTATTCAGGTATTGCGAGGCCAGTAGATCAGTGCTGCTGGAAAGAGCTGGTTGTATACACACATCCCAAGGGGAGAAGACAGGCTGTTCCCCATTGAACGTCACTCAGAGAAATACCGAGGCCCATCACGAGGCAGAGGGGTGAGGGAAAGGTGGCCAAGTTCCTTCATTGTGATTTCAGAAGGTAGTAATGACCAGGCAGGGTCAACAGGCTTAGGAGTGACTACACTGAAACATTTTGGTAGGCGCTGAGCAACGGGGCTGGCCCTAGCCATCTAATCTACCACCTGCCCTGGGATGACTGGCTAAAGGGATAGTGGCCCCGGGTCTGAGTGCCCTTTAATAAAAGAGGTGTCTGGGGTAGCTGATTTGCTTAGGAAAGCTGTTATTAAGGCATTGGTAGGGTGATTTCTCTAGGGTCTTTAAGGCCCTAAGATGTCAAAGCACCAAACACTGAAACTTGAAAACAAGGTTAAAATGCTTGACTCACACACAGTCCAAGGGCATCTTGGTCCAAGGGGGGTGGTGCAGAGGGGAGTTGGCCCAGTGTCCAGCTGGCTCTGCCGATTGCCTATGCTTGAACCAGCAGGCTGTGGGTCTCCGTCATGTCCCAGAGCCCATTCTGGGATTTCTGAATCTGAATGAATCCTTGCAAGCTTAGGAATCTGCATTTAGTAAGTTTCAAGCCCTGTTGGCCATGCACACTAAAGTCTCAGAAACTTTGTTAGGGTGGTGGGCTCCATTCTACCTTGCCAGATTTGCCTGGTATTTGTCTGGAAGCTTTGCTGTGAGGATTGGGATGCAGATGTCAGAGGATGGGCAGTTTCTGATGTGACAGCTTCTAGCTAGTTTAGCCCAGCACTTTCCCAGAAGCTGACATGGGCAGAAGCTTTGGGCATTTAAGCAAGAGTGTGCCTCTGTTATGACTTCCTATAGAAAAAGACTCAAGTAGTCCTCTGCCCCGTTTCCCATTTTTTAACTATGTAAATAAGAAAAATTTCTTCTCTCTTTATTTTTAAGAGTAATCTATCTCTATCACAGGAAATTTATAAAAGTACAGACCAGCATAAAGAACAGTATTCACTAATTGCACTATTACTGTTCTGTTGTATGGCCTTCTAGACTTTGCTGTATATATATCATTTATATATAAAATTTATTGTAGGATTTAAACTTTTTTTTGCATATTTCCTGTAATATTGCATCTATTTTAAATGTGTGCCCCAATTCATTAAATTTTCTGTAATATCATTTTTTTAAAAAGATTTATTTATTTTTATTGGAAAGTCAAATATACAGAGAGAAGGAGATACAGCGAGAAAGGTCTTTCATCTGATGATTCACTCCCCAAGTGGCCACAATGGCCGATGCTATGCTGATCTGAAGCCAGGAGCCTGGAGCCTCTTCTTGGTCTCCCATGTGGGTACAGGGTCCCAAGGCTTTGGGCTGTCCTTGACTGCTTTCCCAGGCCACAAGCAGGGAGCTGGATGGGAAGTGGGGCTGCAAAGATTGGATCCTGTGCCAATATGGGATCCTGGCATGTTCAAGGCGAGGACTTAAGCTGCCAGGCTACCATGCCAGGTCCCTAGAATGTAATTATTCATAACTGCATATTACTTTAATAAATATATTAGGTTATTATTTTATAACTTGCATTTAAAATTATGTATTAATTATTATTATTTAAAATGTAAAATATTAGGACAATAAAATTGACTGGGAATGAGTGTGCCGCCACTCTGTTTTTTCCAGAGGACAGCAGGTCAGGAAGCTGCTGTAAGGTGTCCTCTTCCCCTGGTGGTTAGCCGTGCCTAATCTTGAGTCAAGTCTCTTTTGTTTCTGTTGACAGACAGCTCAGGGTAACTGACAAAATGCTATTAGCATTCTCAAGCCGTCCTTGGCTGGCTGGTCTTCCCTAGGGGGCTGAGATAATTCGGTCATATTTCTGGGTAAATCAAAGAAAGGGCAGTCTGGGAGTAGCGTTTAGAAATAAAGATGCTGCCGTTGGAGTATTCTGCTTTAGAGGAATGGACTGTGGAGACAGCAGTGCTTTCCCTTGGACCTGAAGAAAAATTGTGAAGATTATTTATGATTGCTCCTAACCCTAAGTGATGGAAAGAAGCAAAGTACTTAGATAACAGCCACATCACAGAAGCTGTCCTCTGGGGTCTGTGTGAGTACCATGCCCTCAGCTCGAGCAGGGTGCCTCCGGGAACTGAGTGAAGCTGCTGGAGACACAGAATTCTCTATGAAACATGCATCTTACAGGGAATGGCTGCTCTGAGGATTGTGTGCAGCAAGAATTATTGCTTTAACATTTTATATATATGTATATAGTAAAGATAGTGATGAGGTTAACAACATAGATGGACTCTTCAAAAAGTTGGGGGAAAATCCACAGCATGGAAAACCTCTGCATGGATCTCAATTTTTGGCACAGGAAACTATTTATTCTAATTTTCATGAACTTTTTGCAGATTCCTTGGGCATTCTGTGTGTTGGATTAGGGTAGTGCCAGTCGGCGGACGGCAAGCATTGGTTCAGAATGTGGTTGCCCCGAGTTGTGAGCACATTTCTGGGGCTGCAAAGCAGGAGGGTGCAGTGATCTGAGTAGGTGCCTCATTGGCTGGGAATTCCACATGAAGCTTCTTTCTCTTTTTTGATTAAGTGCTTCTTACACATTCAATATTGAAAGTCACGATTTGACTAAATCCTAATCTGCTTTATAGGCCACGTTGGGAATGGCAGTGTTGAAAAAATTGCAGAAAACCCTAATATAGCTGTTTTTTTTTTTTTCCTGGTGAAATGAAAGTATGTGATACGAGTTGTGTGGAACCCACTTGTCAGTGGAAAATGCGTTGTAACTCACCTGACACCTTGCACATGTCACTCAGGGTCTTTCTTGTTTTGTCTATTCATAACCAACCCTGAGAGAGTGCTGTTTCTCCAGTTTGACTTAATCAGAATCCACATAGTTATCGATGATTTAGACACAGAATTTAAACCTTTACTTTCTTTGGCATATGGCATTTCGTCCCAGATACCTGATGAGAAAAAAAAAAAATCCAGGAAATTCTAGGGCCCAAGATTGTGGCACAGCACATGAAGCTACCTCCTACAACAGTGACATCCCTTATGGGTTCCAGTTCAAGTCCTGCCTAAACCACTGGTGATTTAGCTCTCTGCTGAGACAGCTAAGAAAGCAGTGGAAGGAGGTTCAAATACTTAGACTGCCACATCCACTTGGGAGACCTGGATGGAGTTCCTGGCTCCTGGCTTTGGCCTGGCCCAGCCCTGGCTGTTGCTGCTATTTGAGGAGTGAACCAAGGATTGGATTATTGCTTGTCTGTCTTGCTCTCTCTAACTCTCTGCCTTTCAACTAAAATAAATAATTTTTAAAAATTATTTATCTAGTAAATCAGGTATTATAAAAAGAGCTTTTATAGGTGTTTGAAAAATAAGTGTTGGGCCCTGCACTAATGGGTAAAGTCTTCACCTTGCAAGCACCGGGATCCCATATTGTCACCGGTTCTAATCCTAGCAGCCCCACTTCCAATCTATCTCCCTGCTTGTGGACTGGGAAAGCAGTCAAGGACGGCCCAAAGTTTTGGGACCCTGCACCCGCGTGGGAGCCCGGAAGAGGCTCCTGAATTCAGATCAGTGCAGCTCCAGCCGTTGTGGCCACTTGGGGAGTGAATCATCAGATGGAAGATCTTCCTCTCTCTCTCTCTCCTCCTCTCTATATATCTGATTTAATAGTAAAAATAAAATAAATGTTAGAAAATGTCTTTTAGCACATGCTGTGTTATGGAAAAATGCTTTTCATGAAAAGGAGTGTGATGTCCTTTTCATTTCTCAATCTTTTGTGGTTTGTTTGCATTAGAACAAAAATCCTTTTATGTACAGTTCAACTATCTCAAGAATTAATTTTGACAGATATTTGCACATCTAAATGTATGTTCTAGAGCATGCACACACGCACTCAGTCTGTAAGTGGACATCAAGTCCTGTAGTGTTTTCTGTTGTAGACTCCAGCCATCCCTTTGGGCATTTGGTGCCATGCAATCTTTCAGGTTCCTTGAATAGATTTTCATAACTTGAGCTCATGCAAAAATTCTTAAAAAATTATACCTCGGAGAAAATACGTATCATATAAAAATGCCAATGTGTAGGCTGCTGTTGAATCTGTGTAGACTGCTTGTGGATAGAAAGGAAGGAAGCAGAAGAAATGTAGCTTTACACATCTTGGCAGAGATTTTGTAAATTAAACCATCTACCTAGTGCTTGCCTTCAGATTCCTTTCTAATATGCTAAAGAAAAAAAAGAAGTGTTAATGTATTTATCCTGGCTTCCAGTTAGGAAGAATCCGATTATAAACAACCGTTCTACAACTTTGGTTTCGGGCTAGCAAGGATGTCTGTCCAGCAAAGCGTGCTGGACTGTGGCGGCCACACACACGTGCACACATGCCTGTTCAGGAATTGAGCCTTTGAACTTTAACCTGCAAGCATCCACGGGGCCTGATGAGGGATTGGAGGTTTTGTGAAAGTCACGCTACGGCACACTCATGAGAGGAACCGAGTGTGCCAGGCCATCTTGTCTCATTCAGACAATGCAGCGGCTAGGAGTTCTCTCTCACACAGATCCATGAAATTGCAGTGCAAATCAAAGAATGCCTCAGCCAGAAGGGCTTCTGCCTCACCATACTATTGGCGTTTAGGGTCAGACTTTGTTCCTGGGAGTGAAAGAATGTCGCATGCACAGTAGGCTGCTTAGCAGCATTCCTGGGGATGGCTGTTAGATGCCATGAAATGCTTCTATTGGTGGCAACCAAAAATGCCTGCAGAAGTTGCACAGTGCCTCCTGGGGGTGGGCGTAACAAAGCTCCACTCATTGTAGAGCTATTGCTTTAGGAAGTCCAGTGAGATTCTTCCGGTGCCTGGTCCAAGCTCCAGTTTGGGGTTGTTATGGGCTGTTTTCTTTTGTTGGGAAAGTCAGTGAATCTCAGTTGTCCTCAGGAAGCTGTGAGAGTGTCTCCGGAGTGCTCAGAGTGCCCGCTCCTTCGTGACGGCGGCCCGCAGCTGCAGCCTGGGCGGTTCTCACACTTGGTGCTTCCTGTTTTGTTTCAGGTGACAATCGTAGAAAAGGCGGACAGCTCCAGTGTCCTCCCGAGTCCTTTGTCCATCAGCACCAGGAACAGGATGACCTTTCTGTTTGCCAATCTAAAAGACAGAGACTTCCTGGTGCAGAGGATCTCGGATTTCCTGCAGCAAACAACTTCCAGAATATACTCGGACAGAGAGTTGGCCGGAAGCTACAACAGCTCAGATGACGAGGTCTGTGCGGAGCACCGGAAGCTGTGACGGCTTGTCCTATTACTCAATCCAAGAGTGATCCTTTCTTTGTCCATTTTGTTTGTGCTTCTGTGCTAAGATCAGTGCCTGCTCTGGTGCCCAGAAGGGCAGCTGAGCTAAAATCTCAAGGGGATTTGTATTCGGCATTACAGAGCTCAGAGGAACCTTGCAAATCGTCTTGGCCTGACCCTCTCATTTTAAAGGAGAAGAAATTGCCAAGTTTTTTCTTTTCCCAGTTATATAGCAAGTGAATCTTATCTATACTGTCGCCTTGTTGGCAATGGTAGAGGGCAGTAAATAGTCTCAGACCTGGCATGAAGCATCATTATGATAACTTTATACATATTGTGTATATGAATATGTGTATTCATACTGAGGCTCTGTTGAATTAGGTCATGAGCCAGTGTCCAGGGAAACAGCTCTGAGGAGATAAGTGACAAGCTAATGTGATACAGCAAGTTACTGCCAACTAAATCAAGTTTATTTAAAAGATGGCAAGCTCATTGTACTGGTGTTGTGGCATACTGGTATCCCATATGGGTGCCAGTTTCTGTCTCAGTGCTCTACTTCTGATTCCGTTTCCTGCTAATGACCCAAGAAGTAGAATGTGGCCCAAGTGTTTGGGCCCTTGCCGCCCTCATAGGATGATAGCTCCTGGCTTCAGCCCTGGCCACTGTGGTCCTTTGGGAAGTAAACAAGCAGATGGCACTGATCCCTCTTAACTTGATCTTCCAGATAGATAAATCTTTAAAAATGTGTATATTTATGGTATGCTGATGTATAATACCCCTTATGTGGGCATTTTTGAGGCCTCAGAAACTGCAAATGGAGTGCAAATGAGATAATCCTATAAGCTTCTGAATTAACTAGTGTGATTTGAATACAGGCTAATCAGAGAGGCAAATGGCCAACTGCTTGTTGCAAAATGCATTTAAAATAGAAAAGAAGCCCATTTGAGGCTTGATGCACTGTAGCCTGTGAGCCCGTGCACCACACGCCTGTTGTATCTCTGCCAACTGTTCACTTGCCATGCTGCTCCTGATTCTTTCCATAGGGAAAACTTCCTGGAAAGCATGGCAGCTGTTGGTATCTGCACAGGGCACACTAAAGAACTAGATTCTGTCACAATGGCTTGCTCCTCTGTGTGTCAACAGGTGTATTCTCGGCCCAGCAGTCTCGTCTCCTCCAGCCCCCAGAGAAGTACCAGCTCTGATGCTGATGGAGAGCGACAGTTTAACCTCAATGGTAACAGCGTCCCCACAGCCACACAGACTCTGATGACCATGTATCGGCGGCGGTCTCCTGAGGAGTTCAATCCTAAACTGGTCAGTGCCTCTGGCTTTCGCCAAAAAACTTTCATACTAAAACAGTACTGTGACGGTTGGGAGGTTAGGTGTGGCTTCTCCCCTTGCCTCCCCGCTCCCCATAGATACAGGAGAAAGAAATGAAAAACTTAGAAACAATGATCACACCCCCTTTTTTCTGACCCTCTGTTCTTCCCACCCTGATCAACTCTGTAAGCATCATGTAAAATTTTTTAAAAAGTAATGCCATAAAAATATTAGAGTACAAGTGAACTCACAAATATTTTTGGCCTACATTTAAAATAACTGATTCACTGTACTTCGGCGAGTGGACATAGAACCATAAATATAATTGGTACCCCACTGCTTTCTCAGGTGTGTAGGGTTTTGATTGCAGGTCATGGAGCAACTGCAGAGCATCATGGGTTTGTAAAATTAGGGAAAGAGCCCCAGAAAGTCTGGAGTTCATTCGTGTGAGTTCTGTATAAAATTGGACCCTTCTGTCCGCAGAAAACACCGTACTGACTCCCTATCACTCTTGTCCTCGCTGACCTTTAAACACTAGCGGAAGCATGATTGTTTCATTATGTCTTTCAGGCGAAAGAGTTTTTGAAAGAGCAAGCCTGGAAAATTCACTTTGCTGAGTACGGCCAAGGAATCTGCATGTACCGCACAGAGAAAACGCGGGAGCTGGTGCTGAAGGGCATCCCGGAGAGCATGCGCGGGGAGCTGTGGCTGCTGCTCTCAGGTAGGGCCTGGACTGGGGATGCCTGTGTGTGCAGGTCCCAAGGACTCCCTGCTGCCCCCTGCCGTTCGTTGTGGGTCTTTTTTTCCAATATGCCGACTTCCAGGATGGGATCATTAATTTGTTTACCTTTCCTTTCCTAAAAACACTGTTTACTGTTAAACAGTCCAAATGTTGATGTCATCTTCCCTTCAGCAGAGCCAGTATCATTCAGAAAGCAAAGTAGGCTGACAAGGAAGGAAGGGCAATTCTATCCTTGACATCTGCCACCTCCAGGAGTCCTTGGTCATGCCTGGAGCCCTGGAGATTAGGTGGGAGTCTGTGCCAAAAGCCCCTTCAAACTGTAACCTGAATTTCAGGAATGGAGGGGCCAGAAAGACAGAGGGAGCTGTGTCCGAGGACCAGTGACCAAAATGCCTAAACACAACCCTTTGGGATCCATACTTTGCTGCTTCAGAAACCAGAGGTCCTTCAGGCTGAGCCCAACACTACTGCCTCCCATCGCACAGCTTGGGATATACCAAGGATCTCTTCTGTCACAGTAACCAGAGCATTTCCTTCGGTTTCATCAGCCTTGAATTTCATAGATATATCTTTCTCTACCGAATTTTACAGAAAACCTCAGAAATTATTGCTCTTTCTGTCCTGACATAATGGATCAATTGTCATCCTACCCGTTCAAGTGCTGGAATTCCATATGTGCATTGGTTCATGTCCTAAATGCTCCATTTCCGATCCAGCTCCCTGCCTGTGGCCTGGGAAAGCAGCAGAGAATGGCTTAAAGCCTTGGGACCCCGTACCCATGTGGGAGACCCAGAAGAAGCTCTTGCCTGCTGGCTTCAGATCAGCTGTGCTCTGGCCATTACGGCCACTTGGGAAGTGAACCAGTGGACGGAAGATCTTTCTGTCTGTAGCTCTTTATATCTGCCTTCCCAATGTAAATTCATCAATCAAGCTTTTAAAAAGTCACTCTTTCTAAAATTGGATAGGAATAGTAAGGTGGTCCATAATGAATTGTGATTCTTGCAAGCAGGAGGCTAGAATCCTGAACAAACAGTTTTATCTCTTTCCTATGAAACTGTTTTGTTGTCATTTATATGTCTTCCTTCCTTTTCATTTTCCTTAAGTAGACCATCCACAGTTCTTCATTTAGAAACTCGCATTTGACTCTCCTCATCGCGAATTACACATCAAAGCCAAGATCATTACCATCAAGTCTTGTCTTCCTTGCGCTTGGTGAACTAGTCACCTTGACAACCAGGCTCAGATCGCTGATAGAGTAAATGAAAGAATTCCATTTTCAGCCTCCTTATTCAAATGAGAAGTTATTTACAGCTACATCCGAATGGAAATGAAACTCAAAACAATCCCACTGCTGAGGTACACTCAGAATGACACCCAGGGTTTCCTTCCATGGCCGTGGGCTATGAGAGCAGGCGATGGCAGAGGCTGCCGGCACCTCTGGGGCATTGGGAGGCACCAACTCAGTCTGTAGTTTTGCAGCCATAGTTGGGGATTCACGTAGAAGCCAGCTGGCCCCTGAGGGACATCTGACTCATGATTGGGAGGCCCAGCTTTAGTCCCATTTGCTTCTCAAGACCTTGCAGTCCCTGCACCGGGAACTGTGTCCCACCGAAGTAAAACACAGGTCAGTGGGCAAGAAATGCCATGATATTTGCCAGGAGAATAGAAAAGAAGCCAGTGTAATATTGCTGTCCAGAGGCTGCCTCCTCCCAGGCAGGTGTGAGGGACAAGTCTGGCTCTCAGGGTGACCCTGAGGACAAGGAGGAGGTCGGCCCAATCATCTTGGGGTCCCAATTTTAAATTTTTACTCAGTCCATGTGATAATTTGGATGTAATTAAAAAAAACTTTGTTAGGGTATAATTCCAGTTAAGGTCTATAGTTCGATGGTTTTTCCCCCATATAGTCACAGTACTATGCTGTGCTCAGTACAATTGATTTTGTAGTATTGACATTCGTTATATCCCCACCCCGAAAATACCCTGCTCCCTTCATTAGTCATTTTCCTCTTCCCCTTAAGCCCCATCCTAGCTTCAGTGTACTAATCTGGCAGCCACTAATCTACCTTCCAGACCTGTATATGTAAGTACTCTGGACACTTCATATAAATGCAGTAATATATATAGTTTTTTGTAACTAACTTCTATTATTTTGAATAATGTTTTGAAGGCTCAGCCATAATGTTGGATATAGAAGCATTTCATGAGCAGATATGCTGTTATGTGGATGTACTACATGTCTTTTTATCCATTCATCAGTTGATGAACTCTTGGTTATTTCCCGTTATTGGCTGTCACATATAACAATCCAATGAATATCCATGTTCAAGTTTTTGGACATGTGTTCATTTCTCTTGAGTATGTACCTGGGAGTGAAAATTTGACATGAACGATAACATTATGTTTAAACTTTTTTTTTTGTTTTTGCTTTTAAAATTGTGAGAGGCAGAGGCATAAAGATGAGAGAGAGGTTTCCTATATGCTGGTTTGCTCCCCAAATGTTCACAACAGTTGGAACTGGTCCAGGCTAGAGCCAGGAGCTAGATCTGCATCCAAGCTCCCACATGGGTGCAGGATATCAACCCCCTGAGCCGTCAATACCAGGGACTTTGCATTAGCAGGAACTTGCAGTGGAGGGCTGGCGCCAGGTATTGATCCATGCACTCTGATGTGCTGCATGGGTATCTTAGCCCTTGGGTTTAACTTTCTAAGGAACTGCTAGACTGTTGTTTCCAGAGCAGGTGCACTGTTGCACATGCCCACTGGTAATTAGTGGGCATTTCCATTTCTGTACATCTTCCCAGTACTAGCTCTTTATTGGTTATAATCATCCTCGCAGATGTTATGCGATACTCATTATGAATTTGATCTGCATTTCTCTGATGGTTAATGATGTTGAGCTTTTTTCTTTTGTCTTTTTTTAATGTGCTTATGGGTCATTTGTATCTCTAATTTGTAGAAATGCCTCTTTAGATCCTTTGATATTTTATTTGGTTCACTTGTTTTCCAATTATTGAAATGTATATTTTTAAAACTGTTTTAGATCAAAGTTTTTATTTTAAAAATGACTGTTTTACTGTCATTTGAAAAAGGAATACATTTTGATTTTACAACTTATCTCTCTTTATTAATCTTTTTTCCAGTGAGGGGGATAAGGGGAGTATGCTGGCATGGCGTCAAGAGGTGTACTTTCTTCTCATCATTTCAGCTTTTATATTCAAGTCATTGATATGTTTCAGTTAATTTTTAAAAATTATTTCATTATTTGAAGGGCATAGTGGCAAAGGCAGAAACAGGGAGTTTTCCTTTTTTTAACTTATGTTTTATTTGAAAGTCATTGGGGGCTGGGGCAGGAGGGTGTCACAGAGAGGGAGATCTTCCAGCTGCTGGTTCAACCCTTTAATGGCCAGGGCAGCCGGGGTTGAGCCGGGCTGAAGCCATGATCTTTATCCAAGAGCTTTATCCAGGTTTCGCTTGAAAGGGTTACCAGCCCAAGGCCTGCAGTCATCTGTCATTGCTTTCCCAGGCCATTAGCAGAGAACTGGAGTGTAGCAGACATAGCCCAGCCTTCCTCTATGCCATTGACACAGGCTCTCATGAGTTAATTTTCTGATTTTTCTTATGTGGTATGAGATAGCAACTTAGATTCATTCTTTCCCTTGTACGTGCCCAGTTTTCCCCACATTATCTGTTGGAAGGACTGTTCTTTCCCTATTGAGTTGTCTTAACACTCATGTTGAAAGCCATAAATATGAAAGTTTACCTCTGGATGCTCAATTTACCACGGCCAGAACTGAGCTGATCGAAAGCCAGGAACTTCTTCCAGGTCTACCATGCAGGTGAAAGGTCCCAAGGCTTTGGGCCATCCTCCACTGCTTTCCCAGGCCACAGGCAGTGAGCTAGATGGAATATAGAATATCTGGGACATGAACTAGGCCAGTATGGGCTCCTGACACTTGAAGGTATAGGACTAGCTAACTGAGCTGCTGCACCTATACACTGTGATAGGAGATGTGGGTGTCTCCTGCAGAGGCTTAACTGTGACCCCAAATGCCCACCCCAAATACCCACCCCACGAGATTTATAAATAACCAACTCACCGTGGAGTTTAAATGGGAATTGAGGCCACAGGTTAAATGTACTTCTTTAGTTATAAAGGCAGCATGGCACGTTTGTGTGAATCTGTATTAATTTTCAAGGATCTTTTGATGAATAAGAAGGTGGGAAATTCAGTGGGCAATTTATGGTTGTACAGGCCGATGGCCAGGGCTGCTGCTTTCACACCCTGTGTTGGATGTTTCCCAGGTGCCATCAATGAAAAGGCCACGCATCCCGGGTACTATGAAGACCTGGTGGAGAAGTCCATGGGCAAGTATAATCTCGCCACGGAGGAAATTGAGAGGGACCTGCACCGCTCTCTCCCAGAACATCCAGCATTCCAGAATGAAATGGGCATCGCTGCCCTGAGAAGGGTATTGACAGCTTACGCTTTTCGAAATCCCAACATCGGATATTGCCAGGTGAATGCCATGCATGGTTTAGACTAAAAAACATAATCTCTCTGTTCCATGAGCCAGGCAACAGTGTGCAACTCTTCATGTTCCAGCCCGTTGAGGTCTCAGCATTGTTGACACTTGACCATGATGATTTTGTTAGCATGGGAGCTGGCCTATACTTTGTAGGATTTTTAGTAACATCCAGCCCAGACCCACCAGGTACCAGTGGAACTCTCCAGTGACACAATCAAAAGTTCCCAGACATTGCCAAAATTCCCAAGGAGCAGAATCACTAGAGATCGACAACTATTGTACTGAGCCAGGAGACAAGAACACCTTCTGGGTCCGCCAGTGTTGAGCTGGGTGAGCTGTGAATGACCCACCTGGTCATATTGTCTGATCCATTGTTCACCTTATGCTGAGCACCTGGCCTATCATGAGAGATGGCTACAACACTCCTCCTTGCCATTCTCTTCCTCCAGTAGTATCCTTGAAAATACAGCTTATATTTGCATGCTAGGGTGATAATATTTAAAGACTTATTGATTTGCAAAAAAAAGAAAAAAAGAAAAAGGCAGAGGGGTGGGAGGAGATATTCCCATCACTAGTTCACTCTCCAAGTGGCCACAAAAGCCAGGGCTGAACCATTCCAAAGATAGGACCTCCATCTGGGTTTCTCACTGGGTGGCAGGTACACGAGTCTTTGAACCATCATCTGCCACTTCCAAGATATGTTAGTAGAGGTGGATTAAAGCAGAGAAGTTATGACTCAAGTGGACACTCTAGTACAGGATGCGGTGGCTTAACCTATCTGTGCCATAATGCCTGCTCCTCTAGGGTCATGTTTTAAAATAGGCATTACTATAAATGCCTAACTTGGTAAAACAAACAAACAAATAAAAGTTTCCTGTGTGTCAACTATAACTGAAGTTTTCCTACATGTGTATGCACATACACACACAGCTACCTACTACGTGAGCACACACCTGCCTTCGTGTACTACATCATTTATCTTTTTGATAGTTCTTAGTCTCCAGAAATCCTCAAATTGGTAAATTGACCTTTATTTGCTTTTTTTTCCTCTCTGACACCAGCATTTTTAGCTCTACAAAGAGCTTATCATCTTTGTGTTCTTCATCCCCAACCCCATGCCTTGTTACCTGGTCCAGTGCCTGTGGCAAATTGAACCTCCCCAAAGATCACATATTCTCTGATCATGGACTAGAGACAAAAGGTTAATTCTCAAGTGGAATTTTAAACATAGTTTCACTTAGGTAAAATACTAAGACTTTGAGAAATATATTGTACAAGCCTGGTGAGCAATTTCTGCTTTTTGGAAGATCAAAAGAAGTACAAGAGTTAGTTGGCTTCTCAAACACTTGTCTTTTGATCCTCTGTTTTTAATTAAGAGACAATTAAAGTAGTGAAGCTGTTGAGTGCTCACGAGCTACCTGGTAATGTCTCTTAATAAATGAAGGTTACTTTGGAATTTAAATCACTCCCGCCTATTACTGCCATCCTTACCCAAGGGCAGAAGGGATCTAGCATTGAAAGGGTTCATTGTTCTTTTGGAAAACCATGTGTGCTTGTGTTCTGGAAGACTGAAAGGGAAATAGCTACCTGACTGAATTAAGGATGAAGAATACTGAAAAATATTAGCAGATTGAAAACTTAGTCACATTGCTCTTGGGCAAGGTTTTGGACCAAACGCAAGTGCAAGTTTAGAGCTCATCTTGGTTACTGGGGACTAATAAACACTCTTTATTAGAGACACTTTCTCAAGAACTTCAGGTATTTAATTTTTAAAGGCCATACACAAAACTAAATTGGAAGATTTGAGAGAGTGAGTTTGTCAGTAGAGTCTGAAAATCCTCATCTGGTCTTTGCAGAAAGGGTTCCCTGGCTCTTCTGAGAATAACTTTGTGTTTTTTGTTTGTTTGTTTTTCTTTTTTAGTGTGTGTGCTGCTGAAGTGAGCACCTTGTAATTTTTTTTTTTTTTTTGAGTTAACATTGTTGCCTATATTTGTAAATGTGACTGAGGAAATGCTCCATCTTTCCTTTAGGCCATGAATATCGTCACATCCGTGCTGCTGCTTTACGCCAAAGAGGAGGAAGCCTTCTGGCTGCTGGTGGCTCTGTGTGAGCGCATGCTTCCGGACTACTACAACACCAGGGTTGTCGGTACGTGGGGGCCATCGGCATCCTAACCTAGATCGCATGGGTGTTTCTAGAGCAGTCGCAGCTGGAACACTGTTCCAGTCACAGCTCACCAAAAGAGATTCAGGTGATGCCAGCTTTCTAAAGTGGCATTGGGAGGGCATGAGGAAATACAGGCACTGAACATCAAGGAGCCCCTGGAGAGAGAATGCACACGCACCACCGTTACAGTCGGTCAGTAGGAAGCACTTGATGTCGTGTCAGTCTGTAACAAGGGAGAGCTGCAGCAGTGCGCCAGCTGTTAAAGAAGTTGTGCAAAAACATTCTGAAAGAAGAGAATAGAACCTATGGAAACCATAGGTGTCCAGAAACAAAACAAAACAAACGAAAAAGCTGCCGGAGTAGAGATAATATCATATCAAGGTTTGCCCAAGTTAAGCTTGTAATACATATTTTCTTCAGAACTGGTTTCATTGAGAGCAAACGGTAATTGTAAACATTTAAAAGACAAGCATTGTTATTACTGCTTATAGTTCCTCCATTGTCAGCCATTCAGTTTGGCAAGAAAAGGTAGTGCATAGTGCAATGTCTGTTCCATGCTTCCCTCCTTATTCTATCTAAACTTTGGCTTCTTAATTTGATCTAATGAAAATGCATGCATTATCCAAAAATAACAGAGAGTTGATTATGATTGTGTAGAGTTGCAGTGACTTTAAGTTTTAAAACTCACTGGTTAAACAAAGATTCATGAGACCAACACTGTGGTGTAGCTAATTATTCTACCACCACCACCAATGTCTGCATCCCATAGGGATGCTTGTTTCATTTCCAGCTACTCCACTTCTGATGCAGCCCCCCGCTAATGCACTGGGAATGCCAGGGAAGATGGCCCAAGTGCTTGGGCCCCTGCACCCAAATAGGAAACCTGGGAGAAGCTCCAGCCTCCTGGGTTAGGCCTGGCGCAGCCCCTGCTATTGCAACCCTCTGGGAAGTGAAATAGTGGGCAGAGGATCTTTGTCTTGTCTCTCCCTTCCTCTCCATGAACTCTGACTTTCAAATAAAGAATTAAATGCTTTTAAAAAAATGAAAAGAATTCAACTATGAGTAATCATAGATGCCCAGAACAATTTTCTATTTTTATAAGTTAGAATTATCAAGATAGCAGCTTCAATATGTATTTGGAGCTACTTAAATATACATTTCATGTCTAGTCAAACATTATCTTGCCAAAAATAATTGTAGGTCACGAGAGCTTTGTAAACCGACTTTTGTAGCAGTCCTTATAGTTGTCATATTATTGCCCTTATATCTTAAGTGAAACAGGACAGAAAAAAACCAGAAAGAATGAGTGTGGTGGCTGAGCTGTGTGGACACCCCAGGCACCAAGAAGAAGGGGGTCAGAGTGCTGGTCAGCTGTCATTGTACAGTGCAGCATTAGAGTGGGGCATTTAGTCAGAAGGATGTTTGGTCAGCCTGTGTTGTTCTGTGTCTCCCCTGCTGCAGGTGCGCTGGTGGACCAAGGCGTCTTTGAGGAACTGGCACGAGACTATGTCCCCCAGCTGTATGACTGCATGCAGGACCTGGGCGTGATTTCTACCATCTCCCTGTCTTGGTTTCTCACCCTGTTTCTCAGTGTGATGCCCTTTGAGAGTGCCGTGGTAGTGGTTGACTGTTTCTTCTATGAAGGAATCAAGGTGATCTTCCAGTTGGCCTTAGCGGTGCTGGATGCAAATGTGGACAAGCTGTTGAACTGCAAGGATGACGGCGAGGCCATGACTGTATTAGGAAGGTATGGTAGTTGGCTAACTGAAAAGTTCCTTGACTTTTCCTCCCTGTACTTTCCCTCTTCGTCCCTCACTTTGTCTTAACGGACTTGAAGGTCATTATAATGTTCACTTCTGTGCAGAGCTGAGGATTGATTTTCATATGCTTTTTTGTTTCTTAGAAGTTATAACTAGCTTAAATCTAGTTTTAAGGAAATTCCTTTTTTTTTCATTTTTTATTATATTTTTGACAATCTTTACATAGTTAATTAGGGTAAAAAGGTTCAAGGGCTATAGGAAAATGGGAAAGACTATTATGTCCATATTGTTTCTGATTTTAAGGAAATTCTAATCCTTTGTTTCAAAATGCAGAAGGTGGAAAATATAAACCCAGAGCTCTCAGTGGCTTCTGGTTCATTTCTTCTTCCAGATATTTAGACAGCGTGACCAATAAGGACAGCACGCTGCCTCCCATCCCCCACCTCCACTCGCTGCTCAGTGATGACGTGGAACCGTACCCGGAGGTTGACATCTTCAGACTCATCCGGACATCCTATGAGGTGGGTAGTGCTTCCCAGCTGGATGTTAGCAATGTCCCAAGTCTCAGACAGAATCAAGTCCCACACTACCACTGGTAATCTGTCTCTGCCTATTTTTGCTGCTAAAATAGAATATGGCTAACTGGGTCATTTTGAAAGCATTTTTCATAGTTCTAGAAGCTGCACAGTCCAGGAGCATTGTGCCAGCAGATTTTAACTCATTGTCTCGCTGCTTCTAAGATGGCACCTTCAATGTTGTGTCCTCCAGAGAGGCAGAACATCAAGTCCTTACTTCACACAAGGGCAGAAGAGAAAGAACCTGCTTGTGCAGCTTTAATGCGTTCCTAAGAGCCGAGCCCTCAGGATCCAAATACCTCCCATTAGACCCTATCTCCCAGGGCTCTTGCATCAGGGATTAAGCAACAAATGGAGTTTTGGAAGAGTTTGAAATGTTCAAACCATAGCATAAACAATGGTTTTGTCTGCTTAGTTTGAGAACTAGGGGCAATTTTGGTCTCCAGAGATGGACACTGAACAGTCCTAGGATTTTTAGTGCAGCTCATCCCACAGTAGCAAATATTGTACCGAGCTCTTGCGCCCTAGCCCTTTGTGGTGCCCACTCTGCAGGGCTCAGTAGTAGCAACTCTGATTCAGTCTGGGATGGACTGGGGAAAGGCTAGGGGAAGCTGTGCTTCCTCAATTACTTCCTGTTCCTATGCTAAGTAGGTATGCCTGGGCTCCTCTGAGACACTGTGAATAACCTATCCAGTTATGGGCTTGTCTGGAGTTCTAGAATTCCTCTAAAATTGCTTGGCCTGGATGGGAGAGGATGCCTCCTGGGCTGCACTGACCAACAGCTCAGCCTGATCGTCTGCTGAATCCCAGAATTAGAACTAAGGAACTTCTGTGCCCGAAAAAGCCACTGTGGTTTGTGGACAGCCAGGATTCAGTGCCCACCCCACTGGATGGCTCTTCATTTCTGATCCTTGGTTTGGTAAATTTGTGTGGCAGCAATTGCTAAGAAAGAGCACGCAGGCATAATCTACTGACAGGTCTTTCTGCATGTGTTATGGGATTGTGTGACTGATGATGGAAATACCCAGCCAGCAGCAAACTGGATAGGAAAGGAATGGTGAAGATAGCGGAGAGGTCAAAAAGTCTCCCTGGGGTCGGAAATTATTCCCTTAAACAAGTAGTGGTATGGATCTGGAAACGTTTTCAGAAATATGTAACTTTGATTAAAATAGGAAAATGACTGATAAATTATATTAAGACTCTAAATGCTTTGAAAAAAAATCAGTTGTTTTAGAATAATAAATAACATGATTATTGTGGAAATTGTTGAGAAATGTGAAGGGAAATATAAACTGTGTCCTTTGAGTATTTCACAATCTTTCCTAAAGGTTTTTTTTTTTTTTCTTTAAAGATTTGTTTATTTACTTGAAAGGTAGAGTAGCAGAAATAGAGTGTTTCCACCCACTGATTCACTTCCCAAATGGCCACGATGCCTGGAGCTGGGCCAGACCAAAGCCAGAAGCTAGGAACTTCTGGGTGGTCCATGTCGATGCAGGGCCTGAGCACCTTAGCCATTTTCTGCTGTTTTCTCAGGCACATTAGCAGGAAGCAGGATCAGAAGTGGAACAATTTGACATGACCCATCTGGGATGGGCAGAGGCCTAATTTACTATGCCATAACACTGACCCTAAAATGTTTTTATATTTACAACATGTACTTAAAAATTCAGATTATATGCAATACTGCTTTATCCTATTTTTCACTTAAAATGTACCATGAACATTCTCTCGTATATTACATATTGTTATTTTTTTTACATATTTTTAATTATTTATTTATTATGATCCAGGAGCCTGGAACCTCTTCCAGGTCTCCCGCGCGGGTGCAAGGTCCCAAGGCTTTGAACCATCCTTGACTGCTTTCCCAAGCCACAAGCAGGGAGGTGGATGGGAAGTGGGGCAGCCAGGATTAGAACCCTCATCCATTTGGGATCCTGGTGCATTCAAGGTGAGAACTTTAGCCTCTAAGCCACTGCACCGGGCCCTATTAAATATTATTTAAAGGCACAATTTTAATGTATTTTGTGTTCTACTTCATTAAGATAATAGGTTTATTCAGTTATGCATTTGTTGAATGTTTCCTTTGATTTCTTCCAAAATTTCCAGTATTTTGTCACTTTCTGTTGACATGCTGTTGAACACAAGTGTCATGTCTGATTATTCTTTTAGAATCAAAGAAAATAATTTATAGGAAGAAATCGAATAATATTTATTTATTTTTAGGCTCCTAGCACATGCTACCCAATTCCATAAACCTTGCCCCAATTTATATTTCCCTAGTAAAGAATAGGAATGGCTGTTTTACTTCCATGTTTCTGAAACAAATTTTTATCCCTTTGCTTTGAAAAAAAAAAAAAGGGCATTGCCTCAGGACTTTGGGACAGTACTCTAACAGGAAATTTGGATGTTTTATTCTTCTGGAAATAGACCTTTTGATTGTAGGCAGTAATTACAATTACTTGGATTGTTTTATTAAAGATATCCCTGAATTTGAATCATTAAACTTCTAGATCAGCTTTATTCAAAGTAGCAGAAATACTAGCATCATGCTGAGGTCAACACTTTGCCCACGCTTGATGGAAAAGAGATGAGATGGAGACATGACCAAGGGCTGGTTTTCATTTACATCGTGTCTGGCGGATCCTAACGATGATGCTAAGGCTGCCAGCCATCCCATCCCAGGTTGCAGCAAGTTTCCTTACACTGCCGGGGAAGACGCTCCCCTTTCCCCTTTATTTATAGCAGCGCCTACATTCTCTTTTGAGCATCACTGGCTTTCTATTTCCTCTTCTCTGCTTAAGTGTTCCTGCCCTGCGGATTGTTCTCCAATGTTTTATAGATCACCCTAAAGAGAAAACAAACTCTTGCTCTTTTTTCTTACTCCTAACCATTACATTTATGCGTCTCAATCCTGGCTGTGCACTAAATCACTTGAATTTTTTAAACCCAAGCTTTTGAAAATACAAATTCCCAGGTCCACTCTAGACCAGTTAAATCTGAATTTCTGGCCTGCGGCCAAGAATGAGGTTTTTTTTTTTTTTTTTTTTAAGTTTCCCAGGTTATTCCAAGTGCCTAGTGAGCATTGAGGTTCATTTCTGTAAATGTGGAAGGAGGCACTAATTGCTATAGTGGATTATAACCTTTGTGTAGCATGATGCTCGAATGTTCTGAGTACTACAGAGCACCTCTTTCCATGCTACGGGAAAGTTTAAACATGAACATTGAAAAGTGGGGATGAACTGCACAAAGCACTTTCTTGTTTTGAGATTTGGTTCGGTGTTCTGCAGGTTGCTGCAGCTGGCCTGATATGGACCATTTTGAACTTGAAAATTTGTGAGTGTCTTGTAGGAGAAATCTTACTCGCTATCAGTCTTTTGTGGAAAGGGATTACTTAGGTGGTTTGAGACTCCTGTCTTCCTCTATGTAAATTGTGCATGTAAGGCTCTGCACTTTGGCCAGAGTTGCACAACAGAAGGCAAGGTGTGAGTCTCGAAGTTCAGCTCAGACTAGAAGCCCCTCCTGGAAAGCACCAGAGGCTACTAGCAGATCTGACAGCAGACACATAGCCAGCACAGCAGTTCTTCACTGTCAGCATAACCCAGGGAAGTTGAGTCTGAATTAGGAAAGGGTTGCGGCAAGTTCAGGATTATGTGTCCAGCTCATTAATGATGGTTATCATAGATCCCACCCAGTAAGAGCCTGCCATGTGTGGCCCAGGGTGCCAGGTGATCTGTAGACAGCCCTGCCAGTTAACTGTTAAGTCATATTCAGGTGAAGATATAAGCTGAGAGATATTGAGGCACTAGTTCCAAGCCACACAGCGGGAAAGAACAATGTTAGGATCCAAGTAACAATAGTTCAGCATTTCATTTGTGTGGATCAGATGGAACTGTGGATGGATATAAGTCATAACATTAATTGTTTGGTTCAGCAGAGTTTGGTTGGATAGTAGGGGTACTCAGTAGATACTAGAGAGTGAAGAAAGTTTTTATTTAAGTACATTGTTTCTGCTTACTGTGCAATAAATTGCCAAGGATGAGAGTTGAAGGAATAGACAAGCAAAGAAGACACTGTGGTTGTTTTAGGGGAAGGCCCAGAAGATGCAAAGGATGGCATTTTTCTATTCTTTATTAAAACATGTCTGAAGCCTAGAACTGTGCTAAGCCCTGCACATTCTTTTTTTTTTTTTTTTATAATTTTTACATAGCTGATTAGTGCACAAAGAGTCAAGAGCTACAAGAAAGTGGGTAAGACCACTGTTTCCACACTAATATCTTTTTTTTTTTCTATATCTGGGGTAAGGGGATAGACAAAGGGAGAAGCCCCACCCAGCCTCCCACCCCTCCCAGGTCCCCGATGTAGGGCACGCTCTGAGGGTCCTGCTCAAGCAGTTTTGATAGTTCAACAGTTCTGAAATGCTGCCAATCTCAACATTCCAACCACAATGAAATCTCTTCAGAATTCACTGGCTGACATAGTCTCTTCATGGTTGGGGCTCTGAGATCAGTAGTTCAGTTGGAGGGGTCCCCAAAGAAACTTCAACTGAGGTGATCCCAGACCAGATTCTTGTATGTGCTTACCAGTACAGGGTCCAGCACCGTCCATCGCCCCAGTCAGTTTATGCACATGCAGGTGGTTGCAATTGCTGTGTCAGTTCTGTTTCCAGCCCTGTCTTCCATGCGAACCGGTGGATGTTGCAGTCTGTCTAGCCACGCCCGCCCCAGTCCTGTTTTTCATGCTCTCCCCAGAGGAAGGTGCCCACTATTTCCCTCCTAGGCCACTTCCACTCCCAGATTATGCACTCTCCAGGTGGTTCTGAAGTTTAACTTGACAGAATTAGCCCCCAGTACCAGCATCTGCCAACTGATGCTGCGACAAAGCCCAACCAATCCTCACCCTCTCTAATTTATGCTTGTACCAGTTGGAACAGTCTGCCCAGCCTTACT